GAACGCTTAAATGTAAGTCAGATGGGTAACTTTACTTATATGGACTAGCATATGTAACTGAATGTTTATTTAAGCCAATTCCTCCTAACAACTTGTGGCTTCCAGACAGATGGGTAACTTTACTTATATAGACTAGCATATGTAACTGAATGTTTATTTAAGCCAATTCCTCCTAACATCTTGTGGCCTCCAGACAGATGGGTAACTTTACTTATATAGACTAGCATATGTAACTGAATGTTTATTTAAGCCAATTCCTCCTAACAACTTGTGGCCTCCAGTCAGATGGGTAACTTTACTTATATGGACTAGCATATGTAACTGAATATTTATTTAAGCCAATTCCTCCTAACAACTTGTGGCCTCCAGACAGATGGGTAACTTTACTTATATAGACTAGCATGTGTAACTGAATGTTTATTTAAGCCAATTCCTCCTAACCTCTTGTGGCCTCCAGACAGATGGGTAACTTTACTTATATAGACTAGCATATGTAACTGAATATTTATTTAAGCCAATTCCTCCTAACATCTTGTGGGCTACAGACAGATGGGTAACTTTACTTATATGGACTAGCATGTGTAACTGAATATTTATTTAAGCCAATTCCTCCTAACATCTTGTGGCCTACAGACAAGTCCGCAGATGGTAAAATATTAAAACTACAGACTTAAATGATATTTTTATTGAAGAACTAATCGAAGACAGAAATCCAGTTGAACATTTCTATATATTATGATGTTTAGTAAGCTTTATCAAAGTTTTCATCGAGTCACGTTATCTTGATGCTCATGTGTAGTCAGTGGTACTTAGTAAAGTTTTAATTATTTATTTTTGTAAACTGTAGGTAGAGCCGCCTGTCGGTTACCGAGAGAACATGGTCCATGTCGTGATTCCATACGGCGGTACCATTACAGTTCAAGCCACCAGAGATGTTTACCGTTTATATATGGTGGGTGTGGAGGAAATGCGAACAATTTTGGTACTCGAGAAGAGTGTGAAACTAGGTGTGGCCAAGAAAATCCGTATTATTCTACAGAAGACCCTAATATTGGTATAGTTGTTGTTTGAAAATTATAAACCTGTAAAATGATTCAGTAAAAAGTTAAAGTTTTTATAAAATATTCTTCCCATAATCTTGACTACTTTAATGTGTAGTTGCATGTTCTTAACCAATTTTTGGTTTTGTCATTCGTTTCTCCCCCGGTGGTTTAGCTGTAAAGTTGAAGGCTTATAACGTTAAAATCTGGGATTCGATCACCGTGGAAGTGCAGAACGTAGATATCGAATTGTGTAGTTTTTCCATTAATAACAAATGGCCCGGCATGGCTAGGTGGCTAGGGCGCTCGACTCGCGGTTTCGAATCCCCATCACACTAAACATGCTCGCCCTTTCAGCCGTGGAGACGTTATAAGTGACGGTCGATCCCACTATTCGTTGGTAAAAGAGTAGCCCAAGAGTTGGTGGTGATGACTAGCTGCATTCCCTCTAGTCTTATACTGCTAAATTAGAGACGGCTAGCGCAGATAGCCTTTTGTAGCTTTGCGCGAAATCCAAAACAAATAATTAATGACAACCAAATTATTTAACTCCATTTACAAAGTTCCTTGAATTCATCTGCAGAGTTAGGTTTATTCGACCTTTTTTTCATGTATAAATTAATTTTTCGTTTTGGAAGCTTGCGATATTAACATTTTTTCTCTCAATTTTCTCTCACTATACACATGACTATCTATCTCACGTGCACATTGTTTAACGCAAGCGTATGGCCCGTTAAAAGTGACGGGGCAAATCCTACCACCCCCACCCCATAGTATACCCAAACCTCACATTTCATGGCTAACTGAAATAAATAAATTTTTCGAAATCAGACTTGACCAACAAAGAGGCAGAAAAGTGCAGTCGAGGCAGTCAAACGTAGGTAAATTCCTTTGTGAGCCAATCAAAATTAAGATAATTCATGAAAAGAATTCGTGGCGTATTCATAGGATAATTATTGTGACATGACACACACTGGTTTTTATATAGTTAGATAACGTGACGTGACACACACTGGTTTTTATATAGGTTAGATAACGTGACGTGACACACACACAGGTTTTTATATAGGTTAGATAACGTGACATGACACACACTGGTTTTTATATAGATTAGATAACGTGACATGACACACACTAGTTTTTATATAGGTTAGATAACGTGACGTGACACACACTGGTTTTTATATAGGTTAGATGGCGTGACGTGACACACACTGGTTTTTATATAGGTTAGATAACGTGACGTGACACACACTGGTTTTTATATAGGTTAGATAACGTGACGTGACACACACTGGTTTTTTTGTAGGTTAGATGGCGTGACATGACACACACTGGTTTTTAGGAATCGTCAGTACACTCTCCTTGGACGCTGTGGCCATTGTAAATATTCAGTTTTACCGTTGTTATAATATTCAGTAATTCGATGTCATGTATGCCACATCTTGTTTACGTTATAAAAGTTGAAATTATTCAGGCAAAGTTTTTAACTACTGACTTTAATTGCTCTGTTGTTGCTTCTACTATATTTTATGATACCTTCTGTCTTAGATCTGGTAATTGTATCCAGATATATGTGCGTGTGTGTGTTTTAATGAGTTCAATCCCACTCTTTACTGGTAAAGACTAGCCCAAGAGTTAGCGGTGGCTAATTCAGATAGCTCTTGACCATCCTTGTGCGAAATTCAATCAGTAATAAACTTTTATTCTATCAACTTAGTGTTTTTAATATTAACTTTTATTTAAGTGTATTACTCTGAAAATAATTTCAATAAATATGATTCAAATTATTACCTGAATTTGTGAAAAACTTTAAGAATGAAAACGCTTTGAACTAATAAGACCAACATAGTAATTTATGTGTTTAATTAATATGACGAGTAAAAGTATTTACATTTGTGAAAACTGAAAACAGAATTGAGTTATAAACTCAAATCTTCATTGATTTATAGGTCACGACATCTGTGGAATACCAAGATAATCTGGACCTTGTTGTTAATCTTTTGAGCTAACTATAACAGTTTTTTTTTGTTGTTTTTTTTTGTCACTTATACTAATAAAAATGCTTCCAGGTGACTCAGCGGTAAGTCTGAATGCTTAAACGCTAAAAATCAGGTTTCGATACTGCGCCTAAAAACAAACAAATACAAATCCTGTATCTACCTCTCTAGGTGGCGACGTCTGTAGGCTACCGAGGGAACATGGCCCTTGTCAAGAGTCGTTTCAACGATATTACTACAGTCCAAGCCAGCAGCAATGTTTGTCTTTCATATATGGCGGATGTGGTGGAAATAAAAACAATTTTGTAACTCGAGAAGAATGCGCGACTAGATGTGGAGGACAAGATCGTTACTACACAACTGAAGATCCTAATATTGGTATGGCTGTACACTTTAATATTGTACTGTTTATAATAACAAAATCTATCGTCATATTCAATCATTATTACTAGAATGTATACTTAACTATAAATTAGGAATACAACATTGGTTTAGATAATCAAATCCATTTAGTAAATATGAAGTACACCACGTCTAATTAAAAATAATCACATTTTAGACGTATTTTCTTACGAAAAATAGGCATGAAATTACATTGCAAATGATAGTTTTGGTAGCATACAAGAATTTTTTTTTATTGTGTACACTATTTATTTTCATATAGATAAGAATGTAATGAAATATATTTTCCTCAGTTTGTAGAGGGCTTTGAGGGACGAAAGGATTATTTAATTATTCATAGAAATATTTTACAAATTTGGTTATAGTTTGAAACATTAATCGGATATTCAAAATGTTTTTGAATGCCTCAGTTATCATGGTACTTAGGATTAATTTTTAGTCATTTTAAAACCAAATTAAGTTTTTATTTTGAATCTTAAAATACTTATCTAAGATTGTAAGTTATAGGCTTAATAGTATCAGATTATATCTTTACATTTTCAAAATGAAATCATGTTTTAATGGTATTTTTCATTTTCATATAATTTGGAGAATTACCTAATTTTTATTTAAGTTGGTTTGATTTTATTTTGAATATCTATTAGAATTTCATATATTTCAACAATGAAATTTCTTCTCCTTTTTTATTTCTAAAGAGGACTAATATAATCCTCGAACTAACTGTGACTCACAACATCTAGTTTAAGAAAAGCCAGGGGTTACCCTTTATACAGAATAGTAACGGTTTAATTTAAAATTATGTTGTCCTTGGTTGTAAAGCTTTTATGCCACTTTCAGCGTAGAATGAATTAAGGTATGTATTACCCTTTACTGAAAACCTACATTTGTAAATGTAATTACGTTTCGTCTGAGTTTAATGTTAAGCCTTAACATTAGGCCTATTTTAAGCAAACTATACCGTCCTATTTTAGATTACTTTGATTTATGTCATTGCCATGTAGGATTTTTGTGTAAACTTAAAATACATCTAATTATACCAGACAGGTTGTTAAAGGAAACTTTAAAATAATTTTTCCTGTTTAAAAATGTTTTTATCCGAATGCGATAGCTGTTTTTAACTTACTGGTAATAATATGGCAAGTTGGCAACAACACGAGCTCAAGAATCAACCAAGACAAAGATGGCTGGACACGGCTTGAATGGGTAATGAAGAAAAACTTTAATATAAGTTTAACATAACAGCAAATGTACAACGTTTCGACAAGGTTTTGTCATCATCAGGTGTACCTGATCGACCTCATCAAGAGGATACGCCCCCCCCCGCACTACTATAGCTACTGCTCTGGTGGAGTGATACACTGTTTACTATCACGTAATGACGCTTTATACGGCTAAGCGTTTTTTATCATATATATCACTCAGACTGTGCATGTACTTAAAAATACACTGGCGCAGGCACACACGTGTCAGTTAATAAAAGTCAAACCGGAAGATAAACGTTAATTTTTCGGTAATCGGATATTGAGTATTAACATAATATTTGTATTATTGTCATTCTAAATTGAAGTTATTTGGGAGCTGGACTTTATTTCTGTTTAAACATTCATCGAAATATAAATGATCTCGAAAGCATATTTTTGTAGTATTGATAGAATAACAAAATATACATTTGTGTGTGTGTGTGTGTATATATATTTATTTTTTATATCTATATTATTAAAATTTTAATTATGCTGATTAGCAGTTTTAAAATTTCTTTATACCATAAATTATGCAGATTTATGTAAACAAATATATCTTGAATAAAAGTTGAATTATACATCTGTGGTTGTTCGCTTTTGTAAAAAAAAAAATCAATATTCGGTAGTTTTACACACACATACGTGTATACATACAGAATGAACGCAGCAACTGAACACATTTGTACGTTACCATAGAAGAGAAGGCTTTCAAAGGAATTCACGCCCCCTAGTGGCACAGCGGTATGTCTGCGGACTTACAACGCTAGAATCCGGGTTTCGATACCCGTGGTGGACAGAGCAGATAGCTTTGTGCTTAATTACAAACAAACACTTCGCAAGAATAATAATACCGGTAATAAGAAAATATTAACTTTTAATATCTATTTGAATTTAAAAATGTAGAGACTACTTTTACAATTGTGAGTAATACTTATAGGGTCTACTGAATTTAAATTAACCGAGGATCTTTATGAGCATCCTGAGTAAAACACCATAAGGAAGTCAGTTTCTACTTAGATTCCCGACAACACTCTACAGTAATGAAGTGACGTAACTTCATAAAATCCCTGTTACAATGATCCCCACTGGTCAGTAGTTCAAAATTTGTTTTCGTGCAAGCATCAGTTTTAATTTTTATAGATTCAACCTTTCGAAGTGAAAAGTAAAAAAAAAATGTATTTTCAATTCTTATATTTTAAGTCATTTTTAAAACAACTATAGCAAAATTGATAAGTGCGACGTTTTAAATTTCAAAGAACGAAGTAACTGATTAAAAAAATTATTTCAACTGCAGTGTCTCAACTGAGCCTTCAGGCGAGCTGTAAACATAAAGAACTTCTGGCACACTACGGGGGGGGGGGGCAAAGCAGTGTAAAGTTGCGAATTTAATAAAAAAATTCATAGACATATGCTGAATGAATAAAAAATAAATTATGTTTCTCATTTTTCCAGGGGGGGGCAAGTGCCCCCTCTTGCCCCTCCCCTGCGGCCCTGGATATGGCAGGTATACTGTAGTTGACATATTGTTCTACATTCTTCTCTGTTGAAGTGTTTGTTTGTTTGTTTGTTTTCCAGCGAAATTATATGGTGTTATTTTTCGTCAAGCAAAAATGTTACGTTAATAAAACTTCCTGTAATGTGTAACTTCCTGTAAATTAACTTCCGTTAATAAAACTTCCTGTAATGTGTTTATTATTGTTTTGTCTCCAATGTTCAGATGTTTTCGGCATGATCGAAGATTTCTGATGTATTATGTAAGAAAGACGCAATAATTAGTTATTTGTATTTATAATGACTCATCAGAAATAAACTTCCATAACTGTACCAACTGATACCCATGACTACCGGAAGTTTCTGTCCACGTCACGAACCGTCCCCCTGGCAACCAGAAGTTCTCTCACGTGGAACAAATGTTTTCCATCTATTTCTGAAGGCACGTCTGACGTTTACAAAAGGGTTTCTGTAAACCTATCTGATGTTATAAAGATGGTGTCGTAACCGCTTCTACAGAGAACGCCTTCTACAGTGTCTTTAGCGCTTATCTTAAGTAATTTATCGGTTTCTTTCAGAAATTTTTGCACAAAGCTACACAAGAGACTATCTTCACATGGCTATGATCAGTTTTGAACTGATCGACTAGAGGGAAGAAACCTAGTCAACAGCACCCACTGCCAACTCCTGAAGAAACGCGTTTCTGCGGCAATGGGCCAGGAACCATGAATTCTCAGATTCACACTCTGAGAACGTTAACCACGCCCGGATTAAAGGGGGTACAGTAAAAGCTAAACTAAATCCTGCGACATTGGACATAGTATTCATTATCATTTCAATAAATAAACATTTTTTTGGCAACACTTCACAACAAAACCTTTTCAGGCAACATTGTAAAAAATGTTGATAAACATGTCGGGCAACATCAAACCCTGTTTTTTTATGTTACCATTAACACTATTATGATAAAACGTTTTATAAAACATTGTTATTGTATAAACTTGGAAATCATGGACTTGCTGGAATTGAACAAATACACTAGCATGACAAAATGCCAGCGTTTACAAGACTAGCTTTCATTTTTTCTTGTGTATTGTACAACACTATTTGACAGCGATTAGAGCGTTTGTAAGATTGGCTTTCGTCATTTCTTGTGTATTATTTAAACCCTTTTTTTTCTTTTTACAAAAGCTCGTGTGTGTCCAGTTGTAACCGACAAATTTGTGGAACGATTATCACCAAACTTGGTCTGTACTTTTAGGGACCTACTGAGAGTAACGTAGAAGGTTCAGCTTTCGGAGCTGACCTCCTATGTCTTTCCACGTGCCTTTTGTCTTCATTGTGCATTAAAAGTGACTTAAAATCGTTAACGACACACAATCAAAAACTTGGTTTAACCTGTTCACCAGCCAGAGTATCGCAACTGTACAATTATAATATAAATTGTTGTTTTATGGTTTCATACATGTTGCTAATCTCCAGGGTAGGTCCAAAAGATATCTATTATTTTAATCTATTTTAGGGGTATAATTGAAGAGTACATCAACATGGGACACATATTCTTAAATGACCAATGAGTTTTTGTGCTTCAAGTCCAATGCCACCCTCAAAGAAAAGATTTATCTGTGGGAAACGTATTTTGAACAGTAGTTTTGGTCTGATATCAGATCTCGGAGATCTGCTTCTGAAGTGGTAATATATATACTGATATGAGCTACAACATCATTATAGTATTAACTTAGTTACTTTGTCATGAAAATTTAATAAGGACTTATAGTTGTCCTGAGTGAGTGACCATTGCAGGCTCTTTAAAGGAATGCGGCACACAGCGTGAGACATTGCTTTTTACAACCCTGACCTCCCGCTGAGACTTGTTTGGATCGCACTTGCCGTTGCTGTCACTGCCGCTACCGTGACCACCTGTAGTGTACAGTGGAAACACAACTGGACATGATATTTATTTTAACTACATAACGATTATCTGTATTACCACTACCAGTGATCTCACTCTACAATACCGGGAAAAATGCTACTATATTTCGAAGCTAGTAGAGAGCACCAGTGGACAATCAACCAACCAAATCTTGGCAGGTATTTAGGTTTTAAATCTTTCAAACCCCAAAGATATTTGTTTGACGATTTATTTGCACCAGTGGGGCCCGGCATGGCCAGGTGGTTAAGGTGCTCGTCTCGCAATCTTTGGGTTGCGGGTTCGAATCCCCGTCGCACCAAACATGCTCGCCCTTTCAGCCGTAGGGCCGTTATAACGTGACGGTCAATCCCACTATTCGTTGGTAAAAGAGTAGCTCAACAGTTGGTGGTAGGTGGTG